GTTTGTTATAGCGCGACTGTTGAAAATAAGTGTATCGTAAAGTTGTATTCGGAAAGAATAAACCAGTTTTATTAAGTAAGGACTTGTGTCGCTAAAGTTTCGTCGGAAACGAAGTTACGAAAAATCAATTAACAAACGGAGACGTAACAATATGAACATTGGATGATTGTAACATGTAGAATACTCAATGCTTTGTAGACTATACAATCGTTGTCTTTAGGGAGCCAACCTTTATATTATGTACATGTATGAAGTGAAGGAGTGAAAAAAAATCAATACATATACAGGTCATCATAAGCTAGATATGAAAAGCTACTTGGCATAATTGCTGTATCTCCAGTGTATATGCCGCTTTTCAGCTATTCAGAGCGTCCCATAGTCGAAAACAGGCGAATAGCCAAAACCGAGATTTCTTATTTTTCATTCATCATCATCTTTCTTCAACAGGCCTAACGCCTACCTAGTTCTAGGAGTAACTATAATTTTATCATCATTTGATAGAGCATAACAGTTTTTATGATCTTTGACTACCTATTTTATTATTATTATATGCAAAATTTATTAAGCTTTAAAATACACTCTATAACCTAGTAACCCACTTACATCATCTCATAAAAAGTAAACAAGCAAGTATTAGGAAAATAATTATCATTAAATAAAACAGCTCTGTAAGACTGGCTATTGAATATGAAACAAAACCATCAAACAAGATAGGAATGGAAGTGGACATATCACTTGAACCGGCTAACGACCACGTAGCAGACTAAGCCGTCTTGACTTTACATGGAGAATAAAATCTATTACTAATAGTTTCACCCAGGTTATTCAATGTTACTTTATTAGTGAGAGTCATTATTTTTAAACTTAAACTAACATCTCACATAGTATAGAACGTCTTTTTATCAGATAAGTTCCTGACACTCTTCCACGATTTAACTGTTGGTTTTTGTTTTGTTTTGTTTATCCAGTGTTTCTTATAATCTCATATTCACACGAAAACTGGATGATTGTGCAACTTACAGTAATAGGAGTGTATAATGGCTCTGGCAGCTTTTCTGCGTAAATATGACTCCGTTTATAACAAACCTAAGTCAGAGATTCTCTTTTTTTCTCACAAATGGGCCAAGCTTGGCTTAATGGTTAGTATGTTAGCTTCAGATCGAAAGATCCGGGGTTCAAAAAATAAAGTCACTTAATATGCTCCACATTTTCAGCTATAGAAACATTATGAAGGTGGTAACCAATCATGTTATTCGTTTCAAAATGCCAGATAAAGCCCTTATGGTCGGAAAGCTACCTTCTGGTCAATAATTCAGAATTAGGGATAGCCCTATATGAATTCTAGGGGTGCATATGATCATAATATGCCATTGAGGTTGAAACTTCCAATTCCATTTTCGCTGAAACTATAGACAATTCCTGGATAAAGTTCGAGAGTAAAATACCTGGTTATTGTGATTCCTAAAAACATGGTTTAGTGAACTTCTATCTTTTGTGTA